CGCGGTGCGCAGCAGTGCAAGTTAATTCTCGGGCTTCTTTATAAAATGAAAAAAAAAAGTTTGCGGGAAAGGGAAATACGCCGGCTCTTTATGTTAAGCTAACTCAGAAAATTTGAATACAGAAAGTGCATAGAAATTTGCATATGAAGTTTGTTATTATATATCTAAACAAACATGACGTCAGTTACGAAGGTTGTATATTTTATGCAAATTTTTGAAACAATGAAAAAATGAACTCAGGATAATACGATTTTGATCTAACTCTCTAGTTCTGACCATACAGTTCGAGTCAAAAGATAGTGTAAGAATTTGAACAGCGCGGTTCGCTTCATGAGTGTGAGGCATTTACAGTTAGTATGATATTGAAGAAAAGGATTGAACAATTTGGTAACTGCGTAGACGGATTAGATATTTGAGAAAATTATTATGAATGAAACTAAGCTTAAATTCCATTTCTAAATAAGCCAGCTAACAAAAGTAAGCTGGCTTATTTAGAAATGGAATTTCGTTGTCTCATAACTATTCTTTCATTTTATATTTCGAAAATAAATGAAAGAATAGTTATGAGACTACGAGAGTTTTTTTCGTCGCTGTATATTTTTCTTTTGTTTAAAACTTATTAGAACTTAATCATTGTTACAAATTGTTGTATTATAGCGGGAGAGAATTTCATCTGAAAGCTTTAAGACAATAGACATTAGATTGACAGTTATTTTGGCTCTTTAATTTAAATCACAAATTTAATTTTGAAAGCAATTTCGTAATTTCATTTGATTTTGAGAGATAAGGAGAGAGAGAAGAAAATTGGATATTGGAAGATAGTTTATTCATTTTCTTTATTGTTTATTTATCGTTTATTCATTTTCTTTTTCTTCCTGTAGAAATGATCCAGTAATTCCCTTCCATTATTATTTTGTTATTTTGCATATTCTGTTCATTAACTATAAGTTATTTCAACAGTTGATTTAGTTTCTGAATGTTAGTACTGACTTATTTGTTATCTACTTTTACATGCTAGCCAATTGTATCAGAGATTGGGAAGGCATTTATTCATCTAATTTATCTTTAAATGTATCAAATAATAATATATCATTTGATACATTATTCCATCATGGATACATTATTCTATCATTTGTGATACTGTTAGCTTCTAATGCCTAGGGAATTCCAGTCGTTTCTCATCTCATATCATTTTTAAATTTAACTTTTCCGTGTTTCAAGAAAATTTTGTCAATCACATTTAAAATCTTTACATATTTTTAAAGTTTTGCTGAATATGCGTTTTCGCGATGGAGTAATTTTCGATAAAGGATTAAACCAAAAATTACAAGAAGAGACTGCTGAACTGGCCCAGTTGATTCTCTACTTGCAGGTATTACTATATGGAGTTTCAGAAATTGTGCTTGTTTAATAAGCTTTAACAAAATTGTTATGAGATTTACTACGGGTTTACATATTTCCCTCAATACTTCCCCATAAACATTACTTTCTCCTTGAAATTTTTTTAAAGTTTTAATTTCAGGATGCATTTATCGGGGATTTCAGTCTAATGTTTTTTTTTTTTTGAGCGACAACAATCACTTGCTATCCTTTTATGATGAAAAGAGCTGTGTAAAATTTTTTACATTTCTCACGAAAGTTTACATTCTTTCAGAACAGAAAAAGGAAGTGCACCAAACTTTCAAATATTAGAATATGGGACCGATGTATCGACGAAGCGATTGATGTTCTAGATGAAGTTGTTGGCGTAAAGGTATGTTTTTACACAACTCACGAACTAATCAGAACTTTGGAATTATTTGCTTGAAATGCTGTACACTTTTATCATAAAATGTATAAATTTATTCTCTATTTTTGAAAGATTAAGATTGCATTTCACAGATTGAATTTCAAGAATTTATTATTTTCAGGTATACAAAACAAAAACTTCACAGGGATATCAGTTGTATGTAAAAAATGATTTGAAAATTCAACACGATACAGCTGATGAAAACCATTGTTATTCAGACGAAGTATTTCTTTTGCTGTTATTATTATAAGTGTTTTATGATTTTTAAGATCTCGCTTAGGTTTTTTTTAAAGTTTTCCCGAAAACAAAGAAATTTATTTGTATCATACGTTTTATTATAGGATAAAGCAAAGTATGGGCTATTGATTGCAATTCTGATGTTCATTTATATGATGCATCGTCCTGGTTCTCCTGATTATACCGTTTCCGAGAGTCTGCTAAAACGTTTCTTGGTAAATTTACTTTTATTTTTATCAGATTTTCTTTATTAAAAGTTTAATTTGTTTCCAAATGTAATAGCTTTATATCATTATTTAAGCAAGAAATGGGTATTACTGAGAACAGTTGTTTTGGGAACCAAACGGATCTGAACAAATTGCTCGGAGCCACATATACTGCTGAATTCATTTCACAAGGTTAGTCTTTTTCGGACCAGTATGTAAAATAGAATGATAAAAATCGCTTTGAAAAATTTCAAGACTAATTCAATCTCTGTATTAGTTGTTTTTTCTAATTTCCTTATAAATTTTTTTGACCAAGTGTAATAGTTTTGGAACCTTTACCCAGTTTGTTTGATCTTTGTTCTAAAGTAATCTTGATGAATGAAATGCATTTAAGGTTGGTTAGCTTTCACAAAGGGAACAGATGAAAATGGTTGCGATACTGTAGCATATGAGTGGGGACCTCGAGCAAAGTCTGTCATCGATCCAATGGTACATAAATTTTCTTTCGCTATGTAACAGGGAATATGGTCTGAAAAAGTAATTGCTTTCTACATTATGTTTCTCAGCATGAGAAAATCCTTAACTAAAAAGCAAATAATTCAAATAATTCTCATGTTAGGGAAGATAATGCAGAAAAGTCATTAAAAATACTACAGAAAAGTCAATGTCACACGTAAACAGACGAATTAAAAAGAGATAAAAAGATTTAATTAAATTTCTCTTCTTCTTTGTGGTATACTTTTCATTAAGTTGTTTTCATTAGAAATTTTTCCATTAACAGTCGATAGAGCAACAAGATACTGCTTCCTGAACTGATTTGGATCAGCTCAGAAATCAGTACACATCTTACAGATTTAATGTGGGAAGTCAAAATTTAGGAGAAAGGGACTCAACCCAAAATTGTAAAATTAAACAAGCTAAAATTTTTTCCAAAAAAAGAAAACGATTTTTACATTCATTTTGATGAAATTTTGAATATTGCTGGGGCAAAAATCATGCATATTATTAGCTAAAAAAATTGAGTAACACCGATTTGTAAAGTAAAAAATGTTGAAAAATTTCCAGACAATTCTTCGAACATATTGCACCATGGATGGTAGTGCTCCACACCATTGGAGATTGCATTATCAAGAAGCACAGAATGCCGTTGCTCGGGATGACTGATTGCTCCTTAATAGTTGATGGATATTTGAGCTTATTCCTCTGTAACATTATTTTCATTAATGTAGTATTTTTGTATTCGTTTTCTGATTTTTGATATTTTAATAAAATATAGTGAGAGAGTACTTTTTTGGGAAAACCGTAGAATTATACATATATTGCTTCTTTAAGAAAATTTACTCAAAATACCATTTAGTCATTATAGTTTGTCGTTGTTTATTTCGATATTTAGATACTGGGTTGGAAAGTTTTCTCAGGAATTTTTTGATTACTGTTGCCTATGTATTATAAAATGAACGCAGTTAGTGATTTCCATATTTAAATTTCGTATAAGAATTTTTTAATCTTACTTATGCTTATTCACATGATGTGCAGATTTATTTTGTGATAAGTAACCTCACTATTCTTCTGTCTTTGGAAGTATTAGTGTAGATGGAATGAACTTATATTGCTTACCACTGTTGCTCATTTTTCGGAAATCTTCAATTATCTGATAAATCATTCGTTCCTATAATATCATCATATAAAATATTTTTGTGTTATTAAGAATTGAATTTTTTTCTCCTAAGCTGGATGCATCGTGCAAAGAAGCCTGATTATAATATTTAAAATTTTAAAATTCTTCTTTATTCAATTTTTAAATCTTCAAGTATTCTATTCTTTGAAGATTGAGAGGTCTAATGCAAAATTTTGATTTGTAAAGAAGTGGAATTCATGAATTTGAAATTAGAATTGAAGAGCTTAAGTAGCAACCTGTGCAGAGAAATTAGTCGTCGTTTCAAGTGGCAATAGCATATTCTTTCGTGGTTGTTTCTCAATTTCGACTGCATATTTGCTCATTTCTCTAAGCCAATTTTGTGCTTGATCAATAACGCTGTGACGTTTGAGCCAGAAATGACGCTTGATAACGTCCTGCAAAATTATTTATCACATTCCATGTTTGCAAATTGCAAACTGAAATGCACTCATTAAGTACGTTGTAGCATTTTCCGTTGAGGTTTGCTTTTGTTTGACGCAAAAGATTGTTGATAAGTTGATGATTTCAATGTATTATCTAATATATTAATCATTGTTGATGAGGTATACCAAATCATTTTTGATGATTTTTAGTGCATTTCTCAACTTTCTGTTACTTACAGATTCTTCCTTTGAAGGCCTCTCAACTTCGTTGCTAATTTTTTTCAACTTCAATCCTTTTATTCCTGATTAAATAAATTTTCTTAACAACTTTCAAGAAAAGTTTATGAGTACATGAAGCATTTAAAATTGCATGCAAAAAGTGGAAAAGCATGAAATTACCTTGAAGTGATGAGGACCATTTTTAATTTGTTCTCTAATTGCATAAGTTAATGTTGCATATTCGATCTGACGATTATAATGTTTCGAATATTTATTACCTTTCTCGGTACCTTGATATTTCTCGAAGCCAGGCTCGTTAAAATAAGGATCCTTCACAAATATCAGACCCTATGATTATGTTGTGCATAAAAAAATTTTTTTCCTAATAAGTGCAAAATGATATATCATTTCCTGGTAGCATTGAGGAATGATTTATGATATGCTATAAATGATATAAATAACGAGAAATTGTGCTTCCTCGATTTTATTATCTAAATCTTTTAGAGTTCAATATTCCTCTTATTATCCTTTTTACTAAATGCATTTTGATAAGATTCTCGTTAAAATTTTAGTCTTTAAATTACCTGAATGCTAATAAGTACTTGTAACAGAGAACAGTGCGCATTCCATTTCTCCTCTGGTCGACCTTCCCATGTACCTAATATCGATAAACAAATTTTACCATCCTTATAGAGGTTTGGATTGAAGCGTACATTTCCTTCGCCAGTTGTTAAAAAAGCACATTTTGGTGGTGAAAATGGATAGCTAAAAAAAATTAAAATGTGACTTTCATAAACTATGAAATTTTTTTTTTTTTTTTTATAATACATTAGAAGGAACTGATCTCTTGAGTGATTTTAAGTGATTTTAAGATTAATTTTTTTGTTCCGATCAAAACATTGACGAATTTCCATGATTTGCAGTTTTATTTCTAAAATAATTAGTTTGATTGATCTTTCAATTAGTTTCATGATCGTTAATGAGGGAGCAAATGGGGGGCGTTTTATTTGAATGATTGAAACCATTCAAAACCTTATCATTATGATATCATATTAGGAAAATGTGGGAAGTAAAAGTATTGCTTACATTCTAATTAATAAAAAAAATACTTTGTTGGGAAGAAAACATCGAATTCAAAAAGACCATTCTGATAAGGTGTATCATCTGGTCCTGAGATAAGCACTTTAACAATATCACATCGTCCTTCATCCAAGCAAACAAATATGCTATTGCTAGCATTCAGTGGCAGACTATTCGGCATTGATGCAAGTTCCTTAGCTGTAATTTTCATTTTTTTTTTGTTTTTTATGCATTATAATTGATGCAATTTATTAAAATTTAAATTTTAATTAAGAAAAAAAATCAATTAACCAATTCGTTTCGTTCGCTCTTTCAATGCTAATGAGAATGGATTCACATTACGGGCTTCCTTCTTGAATGTAAACGGTACGATAAGTTTACCATAATCACCAATGAGTCTAAATTGGATAGATTTAATTGGTCTTAAATTTCTACCTTATTTTTCTGAAAAAAAAAATTCATCCTAACTTTTATTTGAAATTTAGTATTAACAGGTTTAGACAGAAAATAATCTTGATAAGTTCTGGGGAAATTTCAAATAAAAACCTGAATGTTTGCACTTGAATATTTTTCATAGTTCTGTGATAAAGAATTGATAAATCTTCTTTCTCAGCACAAATCTCTTTATCATATTCTCTCACTAGCAATGCTTTATCATCCTCCGTTCTCGTTATCGCAGTTCGTACTCGTTGTTCAATCGGAATATCCTGCTCATATCGATAAGCAGCAGCTATCAAAACCTATAAAGCAAAAATTTAATTCGTATTAATAACGTTTAAAAGAAAAAGAAAAATTATGATTGCTTATGAAAAAAAAAATGTATTTTCAAAAATTATGAAAAATTATTGTTAGCTATCAAAACGTTAGGAGAATTCCATTCAACATGTACTGACCATATGATGATGACTCGATACATACCTGTGAATATTGTTGTACTTTGGTGATAAAATTGAGAAACCTAAAATCCAATGAACCCATTTGACCTTTGAAAGAATTAGGATATGAAGCTATTGTTTTCGAGAATCGCATCATTAAATCTTTAGCAATTGAACGAGAACAATTAATTGGATGCACCAAATATGGTACCAAAGCTGGCACTACGGACATTGCCGCTGCTGTCTCCAGGAGCGCCTATTAATCCATATTCAGATAGAAAATTTAGAAAATTTGAAATTACTGCTTTAAAATTGAAAAAAGAGAAAGCGGAAATTATTGGTAGAAATCAGTTTAAGTATGAAATTTCTCATTTCAAATGATTTTCCTGAATTGATCATACACTATCAATTTATTTTACAAAAATATAACTTCATCTTTGAAATGCTACTTACCCTTTAATTTTAAGATTAAAAGGTGAAGAATATTTGAATGAACACTTTCTTCTTTTTTTTGAATCAAATAAACGAATCTTTTTTTTTTCTGAGAAACAGTGCTTTATCAGCGTAAGTAAAGAGAGATAAGCAAATGATAGGAAAGAATTATTTATCATTGAAGTAAGTTATTATCACTTGTGAAAATTAGTGATTATCATCATTTGTGAAAATGGAATTATTATCATTTGTGAAAATTGGAATTATTATCATTTGCGAAAATTAATGATAAAAAAGAAATGGATGATACCTGGTATAGTTTCACATGCTCGCTAACATCAAAGACGCTATCATTATGAAGATGATATTCAAGCAGCGGAATGATAGCTGATTCGCTAAGTTCTCGAATAACCGGTTTACCGACATGAACCGGATGACGATCAATGAAATGCAAATGCTCATCGGTGGAAAAATTCGGTGATGCGCAATAAATATATGCTGTTACAGCATTTAAGAGCCAAATTAAACGTTCCTCTCGAATTAAACGTTCTTCAACCTGTATTTCAATAAGATCAACTTTCTGAATATATTCTGTGTAACTTCCCCTTGAAAAAAAAATATTAATTTCATCAATTGATAAACACTTTTGATAAAATTTTAAAACTATTGCAAAGACAAATTTAAAAAAATCAGTAAATTAAAAAATATATGATAAAATTATCTCAAAAAATTTTTCCCTCATTTCCGAAAATTAAACTTTTTAACATATTAAACCGTTTGTTCCATATTCCATCGACTACGAATTGAGCCATGTCCGTAGCCGATACCTTTCTGAATATATCTCGTGTAACTTTTTCGCCTTACAAATTGTTGACCGCTTTCTTTATTATGAATAAACTCTGACCTGAAAAAAAAAAAATTTTGTCGAAAAATATCATATTTATTAATTAATAGAACTTTTAGCAAATACTTGAATTCTAGCACATTTAATTTAAAATTATATCATTTAAAGCAATTATTGAATGCATTTTTTTTC